TTGCAAAATCGGATACCATTGAGATAGCGTGCCATGCGTATCGTAACGCGGTGGTGACAAGCCCTGAAAACGCTGTAAATGGTTTCAGAACCACGGGAATTTATCCACCATCCTTTCTATAGTATATAGGCTTGTTTTTAACTGTTTGGAGCACGCAGAGACATTGGAAGGGCGGCATGGCTCAAGCGAAAGCGTAAAATTCAAGAAAAAATACGCAGCAGCATTTTACAGCTGCCAACAGCACCTCGCACTAAAGGCAAACGCTCACGATGCACCGTGGACTTTGTAGGGCGTCTTATAACAAAGGCGATGCGGCTTTAGGGTGAGCTTTAGTCGATAGCCAGAACCGTGCACAAAACAGATAGCCTCAAATTACATCCTCACTTTTGACTAACCATTGCACCCCACATGTTCTTTTGTAAAAAACGTAAAAATAAGTATTAGATGCGTTGGTATTCCCTTTTTGATTTCCAAAGACCCAATTCAATCAACAATTGGTGCCTTTTTCGCTAGATGCACCTTTTGAACATGCCCGAAATCAGGCACTCAACTGGCAAATTACGTTACCGTCAACAGCAACAGCAGCAAGACGCATTTTGCAAATGCTTTAATCAAATCTGGCACAGATTAGAGTATTTGATGACTCCTTGTGAAGCAGCACAAATTCTGAAACAGCACAAACTGACACAGATTAGAGTGTCTAATGGATTCTTCTGAAACAGCACAAATTGAGCGCTAAATGCATTAAAATGTACAAAACTGATTTGTTTTAGCTTTGGTATGAGAGGTGAACAATCTTTAGTTACTTACAAGATTAAACAGCAGTACAAGCGGGTAAGTAGTGCAAGCTGAACACGCCATTACATTTTTTTGCGTTAATGTGAGCTAGGTTTCATGGCTCGGAAACGGCCCGTGGTATCGAGCACGACGCTAAACGAAACATATTGTGTAGCATTTGTATTAACGTTATTAGAAGTACAGGTGGTTTTGGGTGAAAGATGAATATACAGTGATAGCCAACAATAATAAAGAGGTTGAAGTAAGTATCATGATTCAAGATCGTTATAAAAATTATTTTTAAGCATAATACTGACCCAGATCAATGAAATTAAAGTATCGAGGCGCATAGGAGCTTAGCGTTTAAGTTTAATATTTATCCCGCCGAAGCGTAGCGGAGGCGGGAAGGTAGAACTAAACCTACTCTACTGCCGCGTAGCGGTGGCGCTCTGCTAGTAAGAGTTATAAATACAAAATAAAATGCGAATTCGCAGTGTCAAAGTGGTACCGCGACTTGACCCCAGTGTTGTCTGTAGTAGGACAAAACAAAGGATCCAAAGTTTGCTGCACCCATGTGACAACGCTGCTGGAAAGAACAAGCTTTTGCGGCCATGGAGGCAAAGAGGTGTCTTTCATCTACGGTAGCTTACGATTTGTAAGGACGCTTAACCTGGTACGTCCTCAAGGACGTAGCGGGCAGCTTCAAAGGTATCTCTAATAGCACAACACTGTTTCATTTTTGCTCTATTAGCTAGGATATAATCCGGGTTTATTTGTAGCTCCGCAATACTGTCCCGACACCAACGTCTTCTTCATCCAACGGATCAGCTCGTGGTCCTCAACGTTGAATTATTTTGCGGTCTTGTCTTTTAGCATTTCCGCTCCAGGCGAAAAGCATACGCGTAGCAAGGATCAAAGCATACGCGTATGCTTTGATCTATTTAGTTTTATGAAGAAGTTTGTATTGAAAATCGTATGTTGTGCAAGGGAAACGTCAAATTGAAGCAGATGCAAGATGATTTGTAAGGCAGTCACGCTTGGTCTTGGGGCCACAAATTCCAAAGAACACATTCTGATGTGGGTCAGAGCATTCGACACAGTAGAAAGATGCTTTCTGCTTGCATTCTCCGCATTGACGCTGTGCACGGTAATTTTTAGATCTGGTCGATGCGTACTGAGGTAAATTGATGAAAGCTTCGATGCGATGCGGCGTGTATACTTCATTCTGCTGCGCCGTATCTCCGACAAAACTGCGTGTTACTCTGGGGGCGATATAGCCGTTGAAGATAAGCCGGTGGGCAAGTTGCGAGACGAAGTCTTGGAATTCGAGCACCGGGTTGTCTTAGTGGTTACCGTCCGTGGTATCGTGACAGTAGGCCTTGTACGCAGCAACTACGACCGTCCCTAGCAGTGTACTAAAGAGTCGGTGACTCCAATTTAGCGTTATCCATTCCCTTTCTAGAGTGAGGCTACCTTGACGCAAATGGTTGCGCACATCCACGAAGCGGTAATCACATTGCACCTGTCAGTCCCGACCTGATGGCAGCGAATTGATTCGTCTGGAGCCGCATACGGGTATACTCTACTTTAAATATTTCACGGCTACTTAGATGCTATTCTTGGGTACACACGAAATCGAAGCGTCTTCTGATACCCTCCTTGTTTTTCGGTCAGAACTGAGCAAAAGAAGATGGCGAAGAAGCAGGTCGGATCGCGTGTTGTAGGCAAGTCCAAAAAGACGAAGGGGAAGGTCGGTGTGGTACGTGCTGTGCGAAAAGAATCTCGACAGCAACAATTTGATGTTCTGTAGTCCTGCGGTACTCTCGAGACCGTTTTCTCATGGTCTTTCACGCTTGCGGCAGTCCAAGGCGCAGTTACTGAAGCATCTGAGTTGTCTAGAGCGCAAAACCCGTCCGTTAGGTCGTTCACAGATCTGCTAACAGCCTCTGCAGTGCTCGACTCGTCGTCGTATTCTGACGACGAATCTACCTTCGGAAAAGAAGAAACTAGCGAATATACAAACGATAACGGTGGTGTGACCGTACACGGACGCCCGGTTCCCCCGTTACAGTCGACCCCGGCTCACATATTCGCCCTCGACGACCATTATTGTTGTGGCCCCAGTCGCTAGTATTGGGTGGTAACAAGCCGATCGACAACTTCTATTTAATGTATCCGATGGCTACATTGAGAGATACACTGTTGCGCACAAACTTCAACATGCAAGGGAAGCGTTACCGGTGCATTAAACAGGGGGATTGGTTTACATGGATCGAAATTCGACTTGCTATGGCGTATGAGCCCCGCAGACTCTGCGGGGCCTCTGCGGCGCAGAGGCCCCCTACCAATTTATGGGGAGATCGATATAAAAGAGGGAAGTGTCGGAACGCCCGCTAATTACGGTCAGCGTTTTGGTATGTCCAGACATTGTTTTGAGCAGACACTTGGCTGCATGTCATTTGACAATGCGGATATCGCAGATGATCCGTGGAGCCCAATCCGACCCATTGTCGATGGCTTCAATTCCCGTCGCCTGCACGTCGTTTCTTCTGGTAGTCTGCTGTGCATCGATGAGAGTATGAGAGCCTGGAAAGTCAGAGAAGGAAAATATTGTCATGACGGCGTCCCTCACAAAACCAAAACTATTCGAAAGCCCGAAGGTTTGAGGGTAGAACTTAAGGCCTTAGCTGATGGTGATACCGGCATTATGCTGAGGTTGGAACTAATGGAAGGTGCTACTCGACAAAGAGCCAAACCGTACAATGCAGAGTACGGTAAAGGAACCGCGGTAGTATTGAGATTATCGGAGCCATACCGCGGTAGCGGTCGCACGATTGTGCCGACAGTGCATTTTCATCGGTGAAAATGTTAGTCCAGCTTGAATCGCGCATGGGCATGGTAAAGACTGAAACTGTTGGATATTCTATGATATATTTACAATCCTGGTTTGCCAAAAAAAAAACAGTTAGAGGCTCTTGTAAGGTTTTGTCGAGCACAACCGATATGGGCACACAAATGTACGCTGTCGGCTGGGCTGATCGCAAGGCTAAGACGATAATTACAAATCGTGGCACCACTTTACCACATACCAACTCAGTCCGCCCTCATCATCGCTTAGTAGAACGTAATGGGGTCATTGAAACACTTCGCTATGAAAAGCAGATTGAGCAACCACAAATGATCGAGCAGTTTTTTTTCTAACTTCGCGGCCGTGGATGTGCACAACCATTTGCGTCACGGTAGCCTCGCTCTAGAAAGGATATAGATAACGCTAAATTGGAGTCACCGACTCTTTAGTACACTGCTAGGGACGGTCGTAGTTGCTGCGTACAAGGCCTACTGTCACGATACCACGGACGGTAACCACCAAGACAACCCGGTGCTCGAATTCCAAGACTTCGTCTCGCAACTTGCCCACCAGCTTATCTTCAACGACTATATCGCCCCCAGAGTAACTCGCAGTTTTGTCGGAGATACGGCGCAGCAGAATGAAGTATACACGCCGCATCGCATCGAAGCTTTCATCAATTTACCTCAGTACAGCGTCAATGCGGAGTATGCAAGCAGAAAGCATCTTTCTACTACGTCGAATGCTCTGACCCACATCAGAATGTGCTCTTTGAAATTTGTGGCCCGAAGACGGAGATTCTGGCGGCCGTGTTGGTACTGGCAATTGCTGCTGCTCACCTTTTTCGGTCAATAATTGATCTAGCGAATCTGAAAAGCGCTCACCCAAGAGTGTTCTGATTGCCAGCATAAGCTCGCGGTGTTCTCGCTATTGCCGTAGTTCCTTTAGTTGCCGACACTCTTCACGTTCCCGGCGTTCCTGTTCTCGACGATCTAGCTCCGCTTCGAGTCGTTGAGCATTTTCCTTTTGTTGTGTAGTCATAAGCTGCTGCAGCCTTACAACTCATCTTGCATCTGCTTGAATTTGACTTTCTCCTTGCACAACATACGATTTTCAATACAAACTTCTTCATAAAACTATTTTAAATAGATCAAAGCATACGCGTATGCTTTGAATCTTGCTACGCGTATGCTTTTCGCCTGGAGAGGAAAGGCTAAGAACCTGTTCCCGGTGTGGTGAGAGACCACAATTAGGGGCTGGTCGCGCTGGCTGGTGCTGGTTCTCACTAGGGGTAGGTATCAGAACAAGACGCTGTCTGGTTTTCAGTGGTTGTCGTCGCTTGTAGAGCCGTTGGCAGTGTTCACTTTAGACTTCGCGCGCTCAAGTACACCATGCCCCCTACGCGTCCGGTGAGCGGGTCCGCAGGGATCCATGACATCGTCAGCTACCCCGCGCCAGAAGCAACCCAGATTAACGGATTGCTCGTCGGTAGCAGTGACACATTAGCGGCCAGCGCCACGCTACCCCCTTAAGCGGATGCCAACCTCTTGGGCTCTTTAAGTGGCACCGCGGGGTCGAGTCCTTCTGCGGTCGACCGCGGAGGATCCGTCCCCAAGCGTAGGAAGGGGAATAAATCCAAGAAGCTGCCAGCTTCAAGTGGCAAGAAGCCTTCCGCTATACTTGACTGGACCGAGAGCATGGTGCGGGATCTGATGACGCTGCGTTTTGACACCTACGCGGACCGCTTTAGCAGCGCAAAAAACAATGCAGCCCTCAAGGTAACGTGGCTTCTTCTCGCCACGGACATGAGTGAGCGGCAGAAGACACCGATCTCGACCGAGCAATGCAAAAACAAGGTAAGCATCTATAAATCTAATGATGCTCCAATATTAACTAATAAGTACGTGTTGTCTTGCTGTGCAGCTGAAATGGCTGAAGCGCAAGTGGGCGGAGTACAAGGCTGACTGTCGCGCTACAGGAAACAGAGAGGAAGAAGTTGCAGAACCAACAGGGCTGGATCTGATGGAGCAGTTCTGGGCTAGGTAAGCATGTAAACGTCATATTATTACGAGTTGAAAACTTATTTGTTTTACAATTTGTTTAGCTCTGCTGGCATGGATGGCCACACACTAGCCGATAGTGAAGCCGACGGAGGTCCACTCTTGTCATGCGACGAGGAAGAGGAGGAGGAGTTGGGGAAGCAGACATCAGGCCAAAAGAACAAGAAGCGAAAAACCATAGGCGACTCGTTTGAAATCGGGATGCAATCGATTGCGGAAGGCTTTCAGGCCATGGCGGCAGCCATGGCACCAGCTCAACAGGCGGAGAAAGGCATGGACACCGCCGTAGGTGACCTGATCGACAGCCGCTTCCGTACGATGATGCAGCGTCAGGATGAACAGTTGGTGCAAATGCAGCTTCAAAATCAGAATCTTTCCCAGCTAATAGCGGCTTTACAGCGTAGGGATTAAGTTGAGTGCCAGTGGAATGTCAACGATGCAGCACGAAAACAGTGTATTGATTAAGCAGTAAAGTCTGCTGCAATATCATCTCGTTTTTGACAACCTAATCTACTTTTTAGTTTCTTTTCCCTGTTGGTTTGACTTTGATGAATACGCTCCTCATCACCAGAGTTGTAAGCACCGCTCAACTCGAAATTGGTTGTGTCTTGAAAGTCTATCAGAAGGTTGTGAAGAACCAAACAAGCGACGACGACGCGCACCGAAGCTCGAGGTGTGCGTTCTTCAAGGGGCTTTTTCAAAATTCTGAAGCGCTCTTTGAGTAGGCCGAATGCACCTTCAATCACCATGCGGGTCGAAGATAACTTGTAATTGAACTTCGTCTGCACATTTGTGAGGGAACCTCCTTCATCCTTCTCGTTGTATGGGGTCATCACTGCAGGAGAAACACCGTAGCCGGCATCTGCGAGAATATGATGTCCTCTTGGTAGAATTCGCTCAATATTTCTGCCAAACACCGAGAATTCAAATATTTTCGCGTCACTCCATGACCCAGGGCGAACGTCGAGCGATGTGAACCTTTTCCGGTGGTCACATACGGCTTGCACATTTAACGAGGGGAAGCCTAGAAACACAGCAATTGAGTTAGCATATCTATCGATGGACATTAATTTAATAAACAAATAAAACAATATACTACCTTTGCGATTGTACCAACCTTCAAATTCTTGAGGCCGATTTATTGCTATCAGTGTCCCGTCAATAGCTCCACAACACAACGGAAAACCCTGAACTCGGTGGAAAGCAGAAGCTTCAATCTCCCATTCTTCAGACGTAGCTGGTAGCTTTATGTGGGTTGACCGAAGCTGTGTTAGTACACGTACGATTGAGTTAACATTTACAATACACCATGCCTTTGATTCACCAAAAGCCTGAGCTGTTTCTCTAAAACCACCGCTAGAACCTAAATGAAATAAAGTACATGCAACGACTCGTTCAAAACTATACTTTTTGTACGGTTTTTGATCGAAATGCCCTCGAAGCATACTGCACAGCTTTCGAAAAGTAGCCTGCGAGCAGCGCAAATGGCGGCAAAATCAACCATTGTAACACTGTTCGTCTAGCATAGTTTCGAAAGCTATAGCACACTGAAACGTAAATACGTTCACAGGGGCATCCCTGTGGAACATCAAGCCACACACGAGAGCGGCACTAGCAGCTACGGTATGAGCAGCAAGAGCAACTGGCTTGGCATCGTCAAAAGCACGGTGTCTGCAAAATGCAAAATGCTGTCAGCCATCCACTGCCCAACTAGAACCCGGATACTCAACTCTTTTGCAAGTTCTCAAGTTGTCCCAAAGTAGTAACATTAACCTATCCCTCAGCTGGCGGCAGCCAATCACAGCGCTCTTTACACCTAAACCTAACTTAAGCACCAGACCCAGAACCAGTGACGGGTGGAACGACGATCGTGAGGCGCCGGGCAAGGACACATCGTTCGATTTGCAACCAAGTCATTCGCTGTTGAATCAACAGTGTTGATACCGGTATTCCGGCTGGCAAAGCGCTTTAGATTTGTAAGCGAGCTCTGAACATTTCCATTTTCGGGCGGAGCGAGGCGAGTCTATCGAGTAAAGCGGCGATATCTGGTACCAGGACGCTAGGTTACACGTCAGTCGGCCTCAGCCGCGAACGTGGTGGTGACACGGAGCACAGAAAAGAAGACTCGACAGAAATCATGAAGAATTCAGAGGACTCCAGGAGCTTTTATGACTCGGGTAGCGGCTTCTCAATGTCGCCACACAGCGCAATAATGCAGTTCGATTTTCGGTCAAGAGATCGACCACGACCTCCAACACGTGTGATGAATGAACCGATCTCGTATCGAGGACTCGGAGTAAAGGACATGATCCAATCGCCGTACGACCAGCGCGCGGACGTGAGTATTTGGCAAGTGGGTCTGGGAGCTGCGATCGGTCTCATGACTGGCGTGATGCTCATTCACTATCAAGTGAACGGCGAGTGGGCCGACTGGTTTGCGTTGCCTGGCGTTCTCTTCATCTCCGCGCTCAAATGTTTAGTGACTCCGATGGTTTTCTGCAGCGTCATCGTGTGTATAGGAGAGTTGGTGGAGGCTGGCAAGGCTGCGTCCGTTGGAAGCCGAATTTTTCTGTCCTTTGCCATGGCCGCCATTACGTCGTCAATTCTGGGAACTCTTTTCGCTTTCGCTATGTCAAAATTGTATCCGTCAAGTGCCGTGGTGCCGATCAAGCCAACGATCCCGTCGCTGAGTCTTCAGTGTGGCGACGGCAGATATCTCTCGTACTCTAAGGGGGCGCTCGCATGCAGCTCGAAAAATGGCACGTTGCCCAATAGTTTGTTTGTACTGGACGATGTAAGTGGATATTTAGTGGAGTCGGACACGGAATACGAGCATTTGAACGTGTCGGAGCAGATTTTTATCATTCTGAAAGACCTCGTGCCGAATAACATCTTCGAGTCGGTTGCAGGCACGTCCACATTGAGTGTCATTGCGTTCGCGGTTGTGATGGGACTCGCTCTGATGAAGAGCGTGGACAAAGATGCGGGAGTGGAGAACTACCCGCTTCTCCTGGTCATGCATGCGAACACAGTGATTCTCCAGCTTGTGAACATGGTGGTCAAGTACATTCCTATCGCCGTCGTCTCGCTCATCGCTGGGTCAATAGCTAGTTACAGCTCGTCGGCGGTGTTAGTCCGCGGCGTGGCTTTCTTAGTTGGAACCCTGACTGTGGCGCTGCTCACACTCACTGTCGGAGTGTTCGGGTTGGTCCTCTTCGTGACGACAAGGAGGAATATTTTCTCTCATTTGTGGCATATGCTGCCGGCGCAGATCTTCATATTTGGCTGTTCATCTTCGATCGCGACGCTGCCCATAACGATGCGATGTGTGGACGCTACGAAGGAAGTATCGTGCCAGATCTCGCGCTTCATGTTGCCACTAGGAGCCACAAGTAATCTGAACGGCACGGCTGTGTACATGCCGCTGGCTTGTGTGTTTTTGGCCAAAGTGGGAGGATATGACGAGTTGCTGACGCCGCTGCGGTTTGTACTGCTGGCTCTTGTGAGTGCCATCGCTTCGTTTGGTGTGGCTGGAGTTCCTCACGCTGGCTTAGTCATGGTGCTCACTGTGTGGCGGACAGTGTTCGGTGTGGACGTCCCAGTCGTCTTCACCATTTTAGTCAGCATAGACTGGATCCTCGACCGACTTCGGTCAATTGTCAACATTACCAACGACACGATCATCGTACGGATCATCGCAGCACAGTGTGACGAGACCACCCTCGAACAGCTGAGTACACATCGCACACAGCAGAACACACACGGCACGGAGCTGCTGACTCACATGCCGCTGCCTTGAGATAATATATATTTTAGTTCCAGTGACCCATCCATACACGATCTCGACACTAAAAGTGAAATTATGAGCTTGACCGGATTGCGTTGAGCACTTGCTGGTTGTAGTACTCTGCGGCTTGATGGAGGCGAGTATACATCTGTCCACAGACACACAATCCAATGTGAGGACGGAGCTACAGATACAACCCAACACAGTATTAACAGGGGAAATTACCTGCTCCAGATCCTTGAGCTCCTTCTGGTACTGCGCTTCCTCCTCCTTCATCTTGAGTTCGACCTTGCGACTAGCGTCGTTGTTCTGCGAAATGCGCTGGCGGACTTCGTAGTGCGCCGCCTCCAGTTTGCTCAGCTCGTTGCGAGCGACTTGTAGCGCTTTGTTGGCGTTTTCGTCCGCGACACGCCCGTCGTTCATGTATCGATTCAGTTCGCTTTTCTTGAGCTCCACAAGCTTGTCCAGCCGCTGGCGGCGCGTGGCCGTCTCCTCTGTGCGGAGCTTAAGCTCAATGACTCGCTCTTTCGTGTTCTTGACCTGGTGTTTTGTCTCCTTGCACGTCTTGAACTCCTTCTCGATCTCACTTAGCAGTGAGAACGTCTTGGCGAGCTCCTTCTCTGCACGCTCGTAGATTGCGATGAAGTCAATCACAGCAGCGTTTTTCTCCTCCAGTTCGATTAGATCTTCCCGGGCTTTATCCAGTTTCGTGCCAATAGATTCCAGCTCTCCTTTTACTCGGTCAGGCGACGTGATGATCTGCGCTTCCAGCTTCTCAATGTCGTTCTCGGCCTCGACCTTAGTGAACCTGGTGGAGGAGATTTCATCCTCCATTGTACTGCGTTGAACCTTCATCTCGTCCGTCTCGTGGCGCAGCACAGCTTGTTGTTTGTTAAGTACGTTGATCTCTTTTTCTAGTTCATTAACCTCTTCCTGGAGTTGCAGTCGCGCGGGCTCCTCAGCCTTTTGCTCCTCGAGCAGCTGGTCGAGTTCTCGTTGAAGCGCTGCGTTCTCCTCCTGTAGCGCTTTCTTCTGTGTCAGCAGTTCATCCGTCTGGCTAGTGATCTTACTGAAAGCGGCCAGTCGCTCCGTCCGGAACTTGGAAAAGTTAATGAGCGCGCTGAGCTGGCGTCGCACGCGCTTCGGTGTCGGGTGTAGGACATCTCGCAGTCCGAAGTCGTCCACGCCACAGGCGGCCAGTAGACGCTGCGCTGTGCGGTAGAACGTCAGCTCTGAGACGGATTCGGAGTGAAGTTCCGGAAAACTGAGTGTTGGTAGCCCCGGGAAGGCCATCTGAGCCATGTCCTCGCGCGTTACGCCCATTGTGCTTTCGATAAATGTTTCGAGGATCTTACGCACGGCGCCTGGGTCACATGCCCGAATCTCATCATCAGCCACGGGTATGTGCAGCTCCCGTAGACACTCGAAGATCTGGCGAGGCTTGAGCAGAGGGAACGAGTACGAGGTGCTGCCACCGGCACTCATGCTAAGGCTGTCGAATTTGAATTGCGCGCACCGTTCTAATAGAACTTCTATTGACTATGATTGGCTAAAACCAGATTGAGAACCCTTTGAAAGGAGGAATTTCCACCTATAGGCCCTTGTTCAAGTGAGGAATTTTTAAGCAATTTGATTGGCTAAGAGCTACGGCAGTCCAGGTCTATCTCTACAAACGGCCGCCTTATTGCCATTTTCTTCTAATCGTAGCACTCTACGCGCGATATTATGTTCGCTATTGGTCTGCCCTTGTCTTAAGCCTTGCAGCTTCTTTGTCTTAGACCTAAAAGGGAGACCAAATTTACAGGCCCAAATAACAGTAGGCTGATTGTATCGGCGCTGCTGCTGGGCCACATTCCACATTAATTGCCGTCCTTGGCGCAGATCGTATTCCTGGCGCTTCCGTAGTGCCGTCTGTTAGAAGCAGGGACTGGCTAGTTCTAGTGCCATTAGTATTTCTAAGATTTCAAGAAATGAGTTACCGTACTCGTGTCGGCTGGACTTGCCATTACGCTGCACATCCAACTCGAGGGAGCCGGTGGTACAAGGACATTCCGTTAGAGAACGGTGTCCACTAGCCAGGCCGGGGCAGTCAACTGCTCGTCAACCCCAACAGAGACGACTGGGAGAGGACACTTCTGTGGTGTTAGAAATCCCACGTGAGCTCTAGCTATATATGTAGTTAGGAAGCTCCCACAACAATACGTCTGCTAGGATAGCAAACGATCGTTCAGGCGGGCCTGAAGACCCCAGTTATGCCCTTGCACTGGGACAGACTGGACCTTGTAAACTACTTATATAGGCCAACCAGTAGAAATAAGAACACGCTACTAGCACGAGCAAAGCTAATATGTGTTATGAATTTTCATGGTCCCAACAGCGAAAAAGGTACTAGGCACGAGTAAGCCTTTTACGAGGGCACCGAGTGTTCAACACTTGGTTGGAAGAATAAAAGGGATGCAATACAAGCACTCCCAGTCGTGCAAATAGGCAACAATAAGCCGTCACGTAAACCTCCCGATAGTAATCGGCCAATACACAGTCTCTTGGCCTTGCCGGATGAAACCTCGCTACAGAGCTTCGAGCTCACCGACAGGCATAACACACTCAACAAGCTTGACCAGACGCTTACCTTGAAACCGGACGTCGCTGTGTGCGCTTGAGTGGAAATTCGGTTATGTATTATGTTTCCCATATCGAGCCTATTCCTAATAAGAATCTTAATAATGTTTACAAAATCAAGTGAGCAATGATCCGTTATGGATCTTCTTGCACGCCAAGCGTCGTCTGTAGCATCGGATGAGCATCTTTAACAGCTCGCCCCCTTTCGGAGACGGTGAACGTTCCCTCAAAGAGTTGCGTAGTCGTCCGCGAGCTCATCCCAACCGCCACAGAGGGTTCGTACTGTAGATGGTCAGTTCTTGGTTGCTGAATGCGAATCCGGCCAGGCCATTATCAATAATAAGGACAGCCTGGATTAAGTAACATCTGGACCACCCGGGTCACCCGCGTACCAGGCGGGTATGCTAACCACTATACTAAAAACAACCAGACGCACAAAACGACGCATCGCACGCGCGTCAAACGGCGCCAGCCTGCTCCACCACATCTTTCTCTGCACCTTCAGGCCTATTTTGAGCGGACTCAGCCACTGTGCAATCCACGAGCACCTGCCATGACAAAGAGCTTTATCCTCTCGCATGACTCCACCACGTCGCTCCGACGGATTCAGTCACGCCTCAAAGGGCTCGTGACCAGTCTCCTCACGGTCAAGACGCCGTACGTCGCGTGTCGATCTAGATACAACGGTACCAGCTGTCGCACAAGACGAAGTTCGGGATCAAGTCCTGTGACGAGTGTTCTGTCCGCTATTGCAATAGGTGTAGCTCGCGCGCCAGCCGTGCGTTGCCTAAAGGAGGCGAAACGTGGGTGGAAGACTGCCGTTGGGCGCAACACGACAAAACAAGGTGGCAGTATGGGCGCAGCAGAGCAAAAGAAGCTTCCCGTCCGGGAATTGGACACGGGTCACCCGCGTGACAGGCGGGTATACTAACCACTATACTAACGAGAATTCGTACAGCCACAACTCGCCATACAAATTTCAAAACAAAAACAACCAGACGCACAAAACGACGCATCGCACGCGCGTCAAACGGCGCCAGCCTGCTCCACCACATCCGCCTCTGCACCTTCAGCCTTACTTCGAGCGGACTCAGCCACTGTGCAATCCACGAGCACCGGCCATGACAAGCAGCTTTACTCCTCTCGCATGATTCCACCACGTCGCTCCGACGGATTCAGTCACGCCTCAAAGGGCTCGTGACCAGTCTCCTCACGGTCAAGACGCCGTACGTCGCGTGTCGATCTAGATACAACGGTACCAGTTGTCGCACAAGACGAAGTTCGGGATCAAGTCCTGTGACGAGTGTTCTGTCCGCTATTGCAATAGGTGTAGCTCGCGCGCCAGCCGTGCGTTGGCTAAAGGAGGCGAAACGTGTGTGGAAGACTGTCGTTGGGCGCAATACGACAAAACAAGGTGGCAGTATGGGCGCAGCAGAGCAAAAGAAGCTTCCCGTCCGGATATTGAACCCGGGTCACCCGCGTGACAGGCGGGTATACTAACCACTACACTAACGAGAATTCGTACAACCACAACTCGCCATACAAATTTCAGCACAAAAACAACCAGACGCACAAAACGACGCATCGCACGCGCGTCAAACGGCGCCAGCCTGCTCCATCACATCCGCCTCTGCACCTTCAGTCTTACTTCGAGCGGGATTCAGCCACTATGCAATCCACGAGCACCGGGCCATGACAAGCAGCTTTACTCCTCTCGCATGATTCCACCACGTCGCTCCGACGGATTCAGTCACGCCTCAAAGGGCTCGTGACCAGTCTCCTCACGGTCAAGACGCCGTACGTCGCGTGTCGATCTAGATACAACGGTAGCAGTTGTCGCACAAGACGTAGCTCGGGATCAAGTCCTGTGACGAGTGTTCTGTCCGCTATTGCAATAGGTGTAGCTCGCGCGCCAGCCGTGTGTTGCCTAAAGGAGGCGAAACGTGTGTGGAAGACTGCCGTTGGGCGCAACACGACAAAACAAGGTGGCAGTATGGGCGCAGCAGAGCAAAAGAAGCTTCCCCGTCCGGGAAATTGGACACTGGGTCACCCGCGTGACAGGCGGGTATACTAACCACTATACTAAGGAGAATTCGTACAGCCACAACTCGCCATACAAATTTCAACACAAAAACAATCCAGACGCACAAAACGACGCATCGCACGCGCGTCAAACGGCGGCCAGCCTGCTCCACCACATCTTTCTCTGCCACCTTCAGGCCTATTTTGAGCGGACTCAGCCACTGTGCAATCCACGAGCACCTGCCATGACAAACAGCTTTATCCTCTCGCATGACTCCACCACGTCGCTCCGACGGATTTAGTCACGCCTCAAAGGGCTCGTGACCAGTCTCCTCACGGTCAAGACGCCGTACGTCGCGTGTCGATCTAGATACCACGGTAGCAGTTGTCGCACAAGACGAAGTTCGGGATCAGAGTCCTGTGACGAGTGTTCTGTCCCGCTAATTGCAATAGGTGTAGCTCCGCGCGTCCAGTCCGTGCGTTGCCTAAAAGGAGGCGAAACCGTGTGGGGAAGACTGCCGTTGGGCGCAACACGACAAAACGAAGGTGCAGTATGGGCGCAGCAGAGCAAAAGAAGTTTCCCGTCCGGGAATTGGGACACGTGTCACCCGCGTGACAGGCGGGTATACTAACCACTATACTAAGGAGATCTCGTACAGCCACAACTCGCCATACAAATTTCAAAACAAAAACAACCAGACGCACAAAACGACGCATCGCACGCGCGTCAAACGGCGCCAGCCTGCTCCACCACATCCGCCTCTGCACCTTCAGGCCTATTTTGAGCAGACTCAGCCACTGTGCAATCCACGAGCACCTGCCATGACAAAGAGCTTTATCCTCTCGCATGACTCCACCACGTCGCTCCGACGGATTCAGTCACGCCTCAAAGGGCTCGTGACCAGTCTCCTCACGGTCAAGACGCCGTACGTCGCGTGTCGATCTAGATACCACGGTAGCAGTTGTCGCACAAGACGAAGTTCGGGATCAAGTCCTGTGACGAGTGTTCTGTCCGCTATTGCAATAGGTGTAGCTCGCGCGCCAGCCGTGCGTTGCCTAAAGGAGGCGAAACGTGTGGGGAAGACTGCCGTTGGGCGCAACACGACAAAACAAGGTGGCAGTATGGGCGCAGCAGAGCAAAAGAAGCTTCCCGTCCGGGAATTGGACCCGGGTCACCCGCGTGACAGGTGGGTATACTAACCACTATACTAACGAGAATTCGTACAGCCACAACTCGCCATACAAATTTCAACACAAAAACAACCAGACGCACAAAACGACGCATCGCACGCGCGTCAAACGGCGCCAGCCTGCTCCACCACATCCGCCTCTGCACCTTCAGGCCTATTTTGAGCGGACTCAGCCACTGTGCAATCCACGAGCACCTGCCATGACAAACAGCTTTATCCTCTCGCATGACTCCACCACGTCGCTCCGACGGATTTAGTCACGCCTCAAAGGGCTCGTGACCAGTCTCCTCACGGTCAAGACGCCGTACGTCGCGTGTCGATCTAGATACCACGGTAGCAGTTGTCGCACAAGACGAAGTTCGGGATCAAGTCCTGTGACGAGTGTTCTGTCCGCTATTGCAATAGGTGTAGCTCGCGCGCCAGCCGTGCGTTGCCTAAAGGAGGCGAAACGTGTGGGGAAGACTGCCGTTGGGCGCAACACGACAAAACAAGGTGGCAGTATGGGCGCAGCAGAGCAAAAGAAGCTTCCGTCCGGGAATTGGACACGGGTCACCCGCGTGACAGGCGGGTATACTAACCACTATACTAAGGAGAATTCGTACAGCCACAACTCGCCATACAAATTTCAACACAAAAACAACCAGACGCACAAAACGACGCATCGCACGCGCGTCAAACGGCGCCAGCCTGCTCCACCACATCTTTCTCTGCACCTTCAGGCCTATTTTGAGCGGACTCAGCCACTGTGCAATCCACGAGCACCTGCCATGACAAACAGCTTTATCCTCTCGCATGACTCCACCACGTCGCTCCGACGGATTTAGTCACGCCTCAAAGGGCTCGTGACCAGTCTCCTCACGGTCAAGACGCCGTACGTCGCGTGTCGATCTAGATACCACGGTAGCAGTTGTCGCACAAGACGAAGTTCGGGATCAAGTCCTGTGACGAGTGTTCTGTCCGCTATTGCAATAGGTGTAGCTCGCGCGCCAGCCGTGCGTTGCCTAAAGGAGGCGAAACGTGTGGGGAAGACTGCCGTTGGGCGCAATACGACAAGCAAGGTGGCAGTATGGGCGCAGCAGAGCAAAAGAAGCTTCCCGTCCGGGAATTGAACCCGGGTCACCCGCGTGACAGGCGGGTTTACTAACCACTATACTAACGAGAATTCGTACAACCACAACTCGCCATACAAATTTCAAAACAAAAACAACCAGACGCACAAAACGACGCATCGCACGCGCGTCAAACGGCGCCAGCCTGCTCCACCACATCTTTCTCTGCACCTTCAGGCCTATTTTGAGCGGACTCAGCCACTGTGCAATCCACCAGCACCTGCCATGACAAACAGCTTTATCCTCTCGCATGACCCCACCACGTCGCTCCGACGGATTTAGTCACGCCTCAAAGGGCTCGTGACCAGTCTCCTCACGGTCAAGACGCCGTACGTCGCGTGTCGATCTAGATACAACGGTACCAGTTGTCGCACAAGACGAAGTTCGGGATCAAGTCCTGTGACGAGTGTTCTGTCCGCTATTGCAATACGTGTAGCTCGCGCGCCAGCCGTGCGTTGCCTAAAGGAGGCGAAACGTGTGTGGAAGACTGCCGCTGGGCGCAATACGACAAACAAGGTGGCAGTATGGGCGCAGCAGAGCAAAAGAAGCTTCCCGTCCGGGAATTGGACACGGGTCACCCGCGTGACAGGCGGGTATACTAACCACTATACTAACGAGAATTCGTACAACCACAACTCGCCATACAAATTTCAAAACAAAAACAACCAGACGCACAAAACGACGCATCGCACGCGCGTCAAACGGCGCCAGCCTGCTCCACCACATCTTTCTCAACACCTTCAGGCCTATTTTGAGCGGACTCAGCCACTGTGCAATCCACGAGCACCTGCCATGACAAACAGCTTTATCCTCTCGCATGACTCCACCACGTCGCTCCGACGGATTTAGTCACGCCTCAAAAGGGCCTCGTGACCAAGTCTCTTCACGGTCAAGACGCCCGTACGTCGGCGTGGTCGATCTAGATCACAACGGTACCAGTTGTTCGCACAAGACGAAAGTTCGGGATCAAGTCCTGTGACGAGTTGTTTCTGTCCGCTATTGCAATAGGTGTAGCTCGCGCGCCAGCCGTGTGTTGCCTAAAGGAGGCGAAACGTGTGTGGAAGACTGCCGTTGGTCGCAACACGACAAAACAAGGTGGCAGTATGGGCGCAGCAGAGCAAAAGAAGCTTCCCGTCCGGGAATTGGACCCGGGTCACCCGCGTGACAGGCGGGTATACTAACCACTATACTAACGAGAATTCGTACAGCCACAACTCGCCATACAAATTTCAAAACAAAAACAACCAGACGCACAAAACGTCGCATCGCACGCGCGTCAAACGGCGCCAGCCTGCTCCACCACATCCGTCTCTGCACCTTCAGGCCTATTTTGAGCGGACTCAGCCACTGTGCAATCCACCAGCACCTGCCATGACAAACAGCTTTATCCTCTCGCATGACTCCACCACGTCGCTCCGACGGATTTGGTCACGCCTCAAAGGGCTCGTGACCAGTCTTCCTCACGGTCAAGACGCCGTACGTCGCGTGTCGATCTAGATACAAACGGTACCAAGCTTGTCGCACAAGACGAAGTTCGGGATCAAGTCCTGTGACGGAGTGTTCTGTCCGCTATTGCAATAGGTGTAGCTCGCGCGCCAGCCGTGCGTTGCCTTAAAGGAGGCGAAACGTGTGTTGGAAGACTGTCGTTGGGCGCAATACCGACCAAAACAAGGTGGTCAGTATGGGGCGCAGCAGGAGCAAAAGAAGGCTTCCCGTCCGGGAATTGAACCCGGGTCACCCGCGTGACAGGCGGGTATACTAACCACTATACTAACGAGAATTCGTACAACCACAACTCGCCATACAAATGTCAACACAAAAACAACCAGACGCACAAAACGACGCATCGCACGCGCGTCAAACGGCGCCAGCCTGCTCCATCACATCCGCCTCTGCACCTTCAGCCTTACTTCGAGCGGATTCAGCCACTATGCAATCCACGAGCACCGGCCATGACAAGCAGCTTTACTCCTCTCGCATGATTCCACCACGTCGCTCCGACGGATTCAGTCACGCCTCAAAGGGCTCGTGACCAGTCTCCTCACGGTCAAGACGCCGTACGTCGCGTGTCGATCTAGATACAACGGTACCAGCTGTCGCACAAGACGAAGTTCGGGATCAAGTCCTGTGACGAGTGTTCTGTCCGCTATTGCAATAGGTGTAGCTCGCGCGCCAGCCGCGCGTTGCCTAAAGGAGGCGAAACGTGTGTGGAAGACTGACACTGTCCGCGGTACCACTACAACAAGACGAGGTGGGAGTATGAGCAAATAACCTTCCCGTCCGTGGAATTGAACCCGAGTTCACCCGCGTGACAGGGTGGGTATACTTACCACTATACTAACGAGAATTTGTACAGCCACAACTCGCCATACAAATTTCAACACAAAACAACCAGACGCACAAAACGACGCATCGCACGCGCGTCAAACGGCGCCAGCCTGCTGCACCACATCCGCCTCTGCACCTTCAGGCCTATTTTGAGCGGATTTAGCCACTGTGCAATCCACGAGCACCTGCCATGACAAACAGCTTTATCCTCTCGCATGACCCCACCACGTCGCTCCGACGGATTTAGTCACGCCTCAAAGGGCTCGTGACCAGTCTCCTCACGGCCAAGACGCCGTACGTCGCGTTTCGATCTAGATACAACGGTACCAGTTGTCGCACAAGACGAAGTTCGGGATCAAGTCCTGTGACGAGTGTTCTGTCCGCTATTGCAATAGGTGTAGCTCGCGCGCCAGCCGTGTGTTGCCTAAAGGAGGCGAAACGTGTGGGGAAGACTGCCGTTGGGCGCAACACGACAAAACAAGGTGGCAGTATGGGCGCAGCAGAGCAAAAGAAGCTTCCCGTCCGGGAATTGGACCCGGGTCACCCGCGTGACAGGTGGGTATACTAACCACTATACTAACGAGAATTCGTACAGCCACAACTCGCCATACAAATTTCAACACAAAAACAACCAGACGCACAAAACGACGCATCGCACGCGCGTCAAACGGCGCCAGCCTGCTCCACCACATCTTTCTCTGCACCTTCAGGCCTATTTTGAGCGGACTCAGCCACTGTGCAATCCACGAGCACCTGCGATGACAAACAGCTTTATCCTCTCGCATGACTCCACCACGTCGCTCCGACGGATTTAGTCACGCCTCAAAGGGCTCGTGACCAGTCTCCTCACGGTCAAGACGCCGTACGTCGCGTGTCGATCTAGATACAACGGTACCAGTTGTCGCACAAGACGAAGTTCCGGGATAAAGTCCTGTGACGAGTGTTCTGTCCGCTATTGCAATAGGTGTAGCTCGCGCGCCAGCCGTGCGTTGCCTAAAGGAGGCGAAACGGGTGTGTAAGACTGTCGTTGGGCGCAATACGACAAAACAAGGTGGCAGTATGGGCGCAGCAGAGCAAAAGAAGCTTCCCGTCCGGGAATTGAACCCGGGTCACCCGCGTGACAGGCGGGTATACTAACCACTATACTAACGAGAATTCGTACAACCACGACTCGCCATACAAATGTCAACACAAAAACAACCAGACGCACAAAACGACGCATCGCACGCGCGTCAAACGGCGCCAGCCTGCTCCACCACATCCGCCTCTGCACCTTCAGCCTTACTTCGAGCGGACTCAGCCACTGTGCAATCCACGAGCACCGGCCATGACAAACAGCTTTACTCCTCTCGCATGACTCCACCACGTCGCTCCGACAGATTCAGTCACGCCTCAAAGGGCTCGTGACCAGTCTCCTCACGGTCAAGACGCCGTACGTCGCGTGTCGATCTAGATACAACGGTACCAGTTGTCGCACAAGACGAAGTTCGGGATCAAGTCCTGTGACGAGTGTTCTGTCCGCTATTGCAATAGGTGTAGCTCGCGCGCCAGGCGTGCGTTGCCTAAAGGAGGCGAAACGTGTGTAAAAGACTGCCGTTGGGCGCAATACGACAAAACAAGGTGGCAGTATGAGCGCAGCAGAGCAAAAGAAGCTTCCCGTCCGGGAATTGAACCCGGGTCACCCGCGTGACAGGCGGGTATACTAACCACTATACTAACGAGAATTCGTACAACCACAACTCGCCATACAAATGTCAGCACAAAAACAACCAGACGCACAAAACGACGCATCGCACGCGCGTCAAACGGCGCCAGCCTGCTCCATCACATCCGCCTCTGCACCTTCAGCCTTACTTCGAGCGGATTCAGCCACTGTGCAATCCACGAGCACCGGCCATGACAAACAGCTTTACTCCTCTCGCATGATTCCACCACGTCACTCCGACGGATTCAGTCACGCCTCAAAGGGCTCGTGACCAGTCTCCTCACGGTCAAGACGCCGTACGTCGCGTGTCGATCTAGATACAACGGTACCAGTTGTCGCACAAGACGAAGTTCGGGATCAAGTCCTGTGACGAGTGTTCTGTCCGCTATTGCAATAGGTGTAGCTCGCGCGCCAGCCGTGCGTTGCCTAAAGGAGGCGAAACGTGTGTAAAAGACTGCCGTTGGGCGCAATACGACAAAACAAGGTGGCAGTATGGGCGCAGCAGAGCAAAAGAGCTTCCCGTCCGGGAATTGAACCCGGGTCACCCGCGTGACAGGGCGCGTATACTAACCACTATACTAACGAGAATTCGTACAACCACAACTCGCCATACAAATTTCAGCACAAAAACAACCAGACGCACAAACGACGCATCGCACGCGCGTCAAACGGCGCCAGCCTGCTCCACCACATCTTTCTCGGCACCTTCAAGCCTATTTTGAGCGGACTCAGCCACTGTGCAATCCACGAGCACCTGCCATGACAAAGAGCTTTATCCTCTCGCATGACTCCACCACGTCGCTCCGACGGATTCAGTCACGCTTCAAAGGGCTCGTGACCAGTCTCCTCACGGTCAAGACGCCGTACGTCGCGTGTCGATCTAGATACAACGGTAGCAGTTGTCACACAAGACGTAGCTCGGGATCAAGTCCTGTGACGAGTGTTCTGTCCGCTATTGCAATAGGTGTAGCTCGCGCGCCAGCCGTGTGTTGCCTAAAGGAGGCGAAACGTGTGTGGAAGACTGCCGTTGGGCGCAACACGACAAAACAAGGTGGCAGTATGGGCGCAGCAGAGCAAAAGAAGCTTCCCGTCCGGGAATTGGACCCGGGTCACCCGCGTGACAGGCGGGTATACTAACCACTATACTAACGAGAATTCGTACAGCCACAACTCGCCATACAAATTTCAACACAAAAACAACCAGACGCACAAAACGACGCATCGCACGCGCGTCAAACGGCGCCAGCCTGCTCCACCACATCTTTCTCGGCACCTTCAAGCCTATTTTGAGCGGACTCAGCCACTGTGCAATCCACGAGCACCTGCCATGACAAACAGCTTTATCCTCTCGCATGACTCCACCACGTCGCTCCGACGGATTCAGTCACGCTTCAAAGGGCTCGTGACCAGTCTCCTCACGGTCAAGACGCCGTACGTCGCGTGTCGATCTAGATACAACGGTAGCAGTTGTCACACAAGACGTAGCTCGGGATCAAGTCCTGTGACGAGTGTTCTGTCCGCTATTGCAATAGGTGTAGCTCGCGCGCCAGCCGTGCGTTGCCTAAAGGAGGCGAAACGTGTGTGGAAGACTGTCGTTGGGCGCAATACGACAAAACAAGGTGGCAGTATGGGCGCAGCAGAGCAAAAGAAGCTTCCCGTCCGGGAATTGGACCCGGGTCACCCGCGTGACAGGCGGGTATACTAACCACTATACTAACGAGAATTCGTACAGCCACAACTCGCCATACAAATTTAAACACAAAAACAACCAGACGCACAAAACGACGCATCGCACGCGCGTCAAACGGCGCCAGCCTGCTCCACCACATCTTTCTCGGCACCTTCAAGCCTATTTTGAGCGGACTCAGCCACTGTGCAATCCACCAGCACCTGCCATGACAAACAGCTTTATCCTCTCGCATGACTCCACCACGTCGCTCCGACGGATTCAGTCACGTTTTAAAGGGCTCGTGACCAGTCTCCTCACGGTCAAGACGCCGTACGTCGCGTGACGATCTAGATACAACGGTACCAGTTGTCGCACAAGACGAAGTTCGGGACCAAGTCCTGTGACGAGTGTTCTGTCCGCTATTGCAATAGGTGTAGCTCGCGCGCCAGCCGTGTGTTGCCTAAAGGAGACGAAACGTGTGTGGAAGACTGCCGTTGGGCGCAACACGACAAAACAAGGTGGCAGTATGGGCGCAGCAGAGCAAAAGAAGCTTCCCGTCCGGGAATTGAACCCGGGTCACCCGCGTGACAGGCGGGTATACTAACCACTATACTAACGAGAATTCGTACAGCCACAACTCGCCATACAAATTTTAGAACAAAAACAACCAGACGCACAAAACGACGCATCGCACGCGCGTCAAACAGCGCCAGCCTGCTCCATCACATCCTCCTCTGTGCCTCTTCGGGCCTATTTTGAGCGGACTCGGCCACTGTGCAATCCACCAGCACCTGCCATGACAAACAGCTTTATCCTCTCGCATGACCCCACCACGTCGCTCCGACGGATTTAGTCACGCCTCAAAGGGCTCGTGACCAGTCTCCTCACGGTCAAGACGCCGTACGTCGCGTGACGATCAAGATACCACGGTAGTAGTTGTCGCACAAGACGAAGTTCGGGATCAAGTCCTGTGACGAGTGTTCTGTCCGCTATTGCAATAGGTGTAGCTCGCGCGCCAGCCGTGCGTTGCCTAAAGGAGGCGAAACGTGTGTGGAAGACTGCCGTTGGGCGCAATACGACAAAACAAGGTGGCAGTATGGGCGCAGCAGAGCAAAAGAAGCTTCCCGTCCGGGAATTGAACCCGGGTCACCCGCGTGACAGGCGGGTATACTAACCACTATACTAACGAGAATTCGTACAGCCACAACTCGCCATACAAATTTCAACACAAAAACAACCAGACGCACAAAACGACGCATCGCACGCGCGTCAAACGGCGCCAGCCTGCTCCATCACATCTGCCTCTGCACCTTCAGGCCTATTTTGAGCGGACTCAGCCACTGTGCAATCCACGAGCACCTGCCATGACAAACAGCTTTATCCTCTCGCATGACTTCACCACGTCACTCCGACGGATTTAGTCACGCCTCAAAGGGCTCGTGACCAGTCTCCTCACGGTCAAGACGCCGTACGTCGCGTGTCGATCTAGATACAACGGTAGCAGTTGTCGCACAAGACGAAGTTCGGGACCAAGTCCTGTGACGAGTGTTCTGTCCGCTATTGCAATAGGTGTAGCTCGCGCGCCAGCCGTGTGTTGCCTAAAGGAGGCGAAACGTGTGTGGAAGACTGCCGTTGGGCGCAACACGACAAAACAAGGTGGCAGTATGGGCGCAGCAGAGCAAAAGAAGCTTCCCGTCAGGGAATTGGACCCGGGTCACCCGCGTGACAGGCGGGTATACTAACCACTATACTAACGAGAATTCGTACAGCCACAACTCGCCATACAAATTTCAAAACAAAAACAACCAGACGCACAAAACGACGCATCGCACGCGCGTCAAGCGGCGCCAGCCTGCTCCACCACATCTTTCTCTGCACCTTCAGGCCTATTTTGAGCAGACTCAGCCACTGTGCAATCCACGAGCACCTGCCATGACAAAGAGCTTTATCCTCTCGCATGACCCCACCACGTCGCTCCGACGGATTTAGTCACACCTCAAAGGGCTCGTGACCAGTCTCCTCACGGTCAAGACGCGTACGTCGGCGTGGTCGAATCTAGATAACAACGTAGCCAGTGTGTTGCCCACAAGAAGAGAGTTTCGAGATTCAAGTTCGTGTGACGAGTGTTTGTGTCCGCTATTGCACATTAGGTGTAGCTCGCGCGCAATCCGTGCGTTGCCTAAAGGAGGCGAAACGTGTGTGGAAGACTGCCGTTGGGCGCAATACGACAAACAAGGTGGCAGTATGGACGCAGCAGAGCAAAAGAAGCTTCCCGTCCGGGAATTGGACCCGGGTCACCCGCGTGACAGGCGGGTATACTAACCACTATACTAACGAGAATTCGTACAGCCACAAGTCGCCATACAAATTTCAACACAAAAACAACCAGACGCACAAAACGACGCATCGCACGCGCGTCAAACGGCGCCAGCCTGCTCCACCACATCTTTCTCGGCACCTTCAAGCCTATTTGAGCGGACTCAGCCACTGTGCAATCCTCGAGCACCTGCCATGACAAACAGCTGTACTCCTCTCGCATGACTCCACCACGTCGCTCCGACGGATTCAGTCACGCCTCAAAGGGCTCGTGACCAGTCTCCTCACGGTCAAGACGCCGTACGTCGCGTGTCGATCTAGATACAACGGTACCAGTTGTCGCACAAGACGTAGTTCGGGATCAAGTCCTGTGACGAGTGTTCTGTCCGCTATTGCAATAGGTGTAGCTCGCGCGCCAGCCGTGCGTTGCCTAAAGGAGGCGAAACGTGTGGGGAAGACTGCCGTTGGGCGCAACACGACAAAACAAGGTGGCAGTATGGGCGCAGCAGAGCAAAAGAAGCTTCCCGTCCGGGAATTGGACACGGGTCACCCGCGTGACAGGCGGGTATACTAACCACTATACTAAGGAGAATTCGTACAGCCACAACTCGCCATACAAATTTCAACACAAAAACAACCAGACGCACAAAACGACGCATCGCACGCGCGTCAAACGGCGCCAGCCTGCTCCACCACATCTTTCTCTGCACCTTCAGGCCTATTTTGAGCGGACTCAGCCACTGTGCAATCCACGAGCACCTGCCATGACAAACAGCTTTATCCTCTCGCATGACTCCACCACGTCGCTCCGACGGATTTAGTCACGCCTCAAAGGGCTCGTGACCAGTCTCCTCACGGTCAAGACGCCGTACGTCGCGTGTCGATCTAGATACCACGGTAGCAGTTGTCGCACAAGACGAAGTTCGGGATCAAGTCCTGTGACGAGTGTTCTGTCCGCTATTGCAATAGGTGTAGCTCGCGCGCCAGCCGTGCGTTGCCTAAAGGAGGCGAAACGTGTGGGGTAGACTGCCGTTGGGCGCAACACGGCAAAACAAGGTGGCAGTATGGGCGCAGCAGAGCAAAAGAAGCTTCCCGTCCGGGAATTGGACCCGGGTCACCCGCGTGACAGGCGGGTATACTAACCACTATACTAAGGAGAATTCGTACAGCCACAACTCGCCATACAAATTTCAACACAAAAACAACCAGACGCACAAAACGACGCATCGCACGCGCGTCAAACGGCGCCAGCCTGCTCCACCACATCTTTCTCTGCACCTTCAGGCCTATTTTGAGCGGACTCAGCCACTGTGCAATCCACGAGCACCTGCCATGACAAACAGCGTTATCCTCTCGCATGACTCCACCACGTCGCTCCGACGGATTCAGTCACGCCTCAAAGGGCTCGTGACCAGTCTCCTCACGGTCAAGACGCCGTACGTCGCGTGTCGATCTAGATACCACGGTAGCAGCTGTCGCACAAGACGAAGTTCGGGATCAAGTCCTGTGACGAGTGTTCTGTCCGCTATTGCAATAGGTGTAGCTCGCGCGCCAGCCGTGCGTTGCCTAAAGGAGGCGAAACGTGTGGGGAAGACTGCCGTTGGGCGCAACACGACAAAACAAGGTGGCAGTATGGGCGCAGCAGAGCAAAAGAAGCTTCCCGTCAGGGAATTGGACCCGGGTCACCCGCGTGACAGGCGGGTATACTAACCACTATACTAACGAGAATTCGTACAGCCACAACTCGCCATACAAATTTCAAAACAAAAACAACCAGACGCACAAAACGACGCATCGCACGCGCGTCAAACGGCGCCAGCCTGCTCCACCACATCCGCCTCTGCACCTTCAGCCTTACTTCGAGCGGACTCAGCCACTGTGCAATCCACGAGCACCTGCCATGACAAACAACTGTACTCCTCTCGCATGACTCCACCACGTCGCTCCGACGGATTCAGTCACGCCTCAAAGGGATCGTGACCAGTCTTCTCACGGTCAAGACGCCGTACGTCGCGTGTCGATCTAGATACAACGGTACCAGTTGTCGCACAAGACGAAGTTCAAGATCAAATCCTGTGACGAGTGTTCTGTCCGCTATTGCAATAGGTGTAGCTCGCGCGCCAGCCGTGCGTTGCCTAAAGGAGGCGAAACGTGTGTGGAAGACTGCCGTTGGGCGCAACACGACAAAACAAGGTGGCAGTATGGGCGCAGCAGAGCAAAAGAAGCTTCCCGTCCGGGAATTGAACCCGGGTCACCCGCGTGACAGGCGGGTATACTAACCACTATACTAACGAGAATTCGTACAGCCACAACTCGCCATACAAATTTAAAAACAAAAACAACCAGACGCACAAAACGACGCATCGCACGCGCGTCAAACGGCGCCAGCCTGCTCCACCACATCCGCCTCTGCACCTTCAGCCCTATTTTGAGCGGACTCAGCCACTGTGCAATCCACGAGCACCTGCCATGACAAACAGCTTTATCCTCTCGCATGACCCCACCACGTCGCTCCGACGGATTTAGTCACGCCTCAAAGGGCTCGTGACCAGTCTCCTCACGGTCAAGACGCCGTACGTCGCGTGTCGATCTAGATACCACGGTAGCAGTTGTCGCACAAGACGAAGTTCGGGATCAAGTCCTGTGACGAGTGTTCTGTCCGCTATTGCAATAGGTGTAGCTCGCGCGCCAGCCGTGTGTTGCCTAAAGGAGACGAAACGTGTGTGGAAGACTGCCGTTGGGCGCAACACGACAAAACAAGGTGGCAGTATGGGCGCAGCAGAGCAAAAGAAGCTTCCCGTCCGGGAATTGGACCCGGGTCACCCGCGTGACAGGCGGGTATACTAACCACTATACTAACGAGAATTCGTACAGCCACAACTCGCCATACAAATTTCAAAACAAAAACAACCAGACGCACAAAACGACGCATCGCACGCGCGTCAAACGGCGCCAGCCTGCTCCACCACATCCGCCTCTGCACCTTCAAGCCTGACTTCGAGCGGACTCAGCCACTGTGCAATCCACGAGCACCTGCCATGACAAACAGCTTTATCCTCTCGCATGACCCCACCACGTCGCTCCGACGGATTTAGTCACGCCTCAAAGGGCTCGTGACCAGTCTCCTCACGGTCAAGACGCCGTACGTCGCGTGTCGATCTAGATACAACGGTACCAGTTGTCGCACAAGACGAAGTTCGGGATCAAGTCCTGTGACGAGTGTTCTGTCCGCTATTGCAATAGGTGTAGCTCGCGCGCCATCCGTGCGTTGCCTAAAGGAGGCGAAACGTGGTGTGGAAGACTGCCGTTGGGCGCAATACGACAAAACAAGGTGGGCAGTATGGGGCGGCAGCAGAAGCAAAAGAAAGCTTCTCGTCCGGGAATTGGACCCCGGGTCACCCCGCCGTGACAGGCCGGGTATACTAATCACTATACTACCGAGGAATTCGTACAGCCACAACTCGCCATACAAATTTCAACACCAAGAACACCCAGACGCACAAAACGACGGCATCGCACGCGCGTCAAACGGGCGCCAGCCATGCTCCACCACATCCGTCCTCTGCACCTTTCAAGGCCTATTTTGAGCGGACTCAGCCACTGTGCAATCCACGAGCCACCTGCCATGACAAACAGCTTTATCCTCTCGCATGACTCCACCACGTCGCTCCGACGGATTCAGTCACGCCTCAAAGGGCTCGTGACCAGTCTCCTCACGGTCAAGACGCCGTACGTCGCGTGTCGATCTAGATACAACGGTACCAGTTGTCGCACAAGACGAAGTTCGGGATCAAGTCCTGTGACGAGTGTTCTGTCCGCTATTGCAATAGGTGTAGCTCGCGCGCCAGCCGTGTGTTGCCGAAACGTGTGGGGAAGACTGCCGTTGGTCGCAACACGACAAAACAAGGTGGCAGTATGGGCGCAGCAGAGCAAAAGAAGCTTCCCGTCCGGGAATTGGACCCGGGTCACCCGCGTGACAGGCGGGTATACTAACCACTATACTAAGGAGAATTCGTACAACCACAACTCGCCATACAAATTTCAAAACAAAAACAACCAGACGCACAAAACGACGCATCGCACGCGCGTCAAACGGCGCCAGCCTGCTCCACCACATCCGCCTCTGCACCTTCAGGCCTATTTTGAGCAGACTCAGCCACTGTGCAATCCACGAGCACCTGCCATGACAAAGAGCTTTATCCTCTCGCATGACTCCACCACGTCGCTCCGACGGATTCAGTCACGCCTCAAAGGGCTCGTGACCAGTCTCCTCACGGTCAAGACGCCGTACGTCGCGTGTCGATCTAGATACAACGGTAGCAGTTGTCGCACAAGACGTAGCTCGGGATCAAGTCCTGTGACGAGTGTTCTGTCCGCTATTGCAATAGGTGTAGCTCGCGCGCCAGCCGTGCGTTGCCTAAAGGAGGCGAAACGTGTGTGGAAGACTGCCGTTGGGCCGCCAACACGGCCAAAACAAGGTGGCAGTATGGGCGCAGCAGAGCAAAAGAAGCTTCCCGTTCCGGGAATTGGACCCGCGTCACCCCGCGTGACAGGTGGGTATACTAACCACTATACTAACGAGAATTCGTACAGCCACAACTCGCCATACAAATTTCAAAACAAAAACAACCAGACGCACAAAACGACGCATCGCACGCGCGTCAAACGGCGCCAGCCTGCTCCACCACATCCGCCTCTGCACCTTCAGGCCTATTTTGAGCGGACTCAGCCACTGTGCAATCCACGAGCACCTGCCATGACAAACAGCTTTATCCTCTCGCATGACTCCACCACGTCGCTCCGACGGATTCAGTCACGCCTCAAAGGGCTCGTGACCAGTCTCCTCACGGTCAAGACGCCGTACGTCGCGTGTCGATCTAGATACAACGGTACCAGTTGTCGCACAAGACGAAGTTCGGGATCAAGTCCTGTGACGAGTGTTCTGTCCGCTATTGCAATAGGTGTAGCTCGCGCGCCAGCCGTGTGTTGCCGAAACGTGTGGGGAAGACTGCCGTTGGTCGCAACACGACAAAACAAGGTGGCAGTATGGGCGCAGCAGAGCAAAAGAAGCTTCCCGTCCGGGAATTGGACCCGGGTCACCCGCGTGACAGGCGGGTATACTAACCACTATACTAAGGAGAATTAGTACAGCCACAACTCGCCATACAAATTTCAACACAAAAACAACCAGACGCACAAAACGACGCATCGCACGCGCGTCAAACGGCGCCAGCCTGCTCCACCACATCTTTCTCTGCACCTTCAGGCCTATTTTGAGCGGACTCAGCCACTGTGCAATCCACGAGCACCTGCGATGACAAACAGCTTTATCCTCTCGCATGACTCCACCACGTCGCTCCGACGGATTCAGTCACGCCTCAAAGGGCTCGTGACCAGTCTCCTCACGGTCAAGACGCCGTACGTCGCGTGTCGATCTAGATACCACGGTAGCAGTTGTCGCACAAGACGAAGTTCGGGATCAAGTCCTGTGACGAGTGTTCTGTCCGCTATTGCAATAGGTGTAGCTCGCGCGCCAGCCGTGCGTTGCCTAAAGGAGGCGAAACGTGTGGGGAAGACTGCCGTTGGGCGCAACACGACAAAACAAGGTGGCAGTATGGGCGCAGCAGAGCAAAAGAAGCTTCCCGTCCGGGAATTGGACACGGGTCACCCGCGTGACAGGCGGGTATACTAACCACTATACTAAGGAGAATTCGTACAGCCACAACTCGCCATACAAATTTCAACACAAAAACAACCAGACGCACAAAACGACGCATCGCACGCGCGTCAAACGGCGCCAGCCTGCTCCACCACATCCGCCTCTGCACCTTCAGCCATATTTCGAGCGGACTCAGCCACTGTGCAATCCACGAGCACCTGCCATGACAAACAGCTTTACTCCTCTCGCATGACTCCACCACGTCGCTCCGACGGATTCAGTCACGCCTCAAAGGGCTCGTGACCAGTCTCCTCACGGTCAAGACGCCGTACGTCGCGTGTCGATCTAGATACAACGGTACCAGTTGTCGCACAAGACGAAGTTCGGGATCAAGTCCTGTGACGAGTGTTCTGTCCGCTATTGCAATAGGTGTAGCTCGCGCGCCAGCCGTGTGTTGCCTAAAGGAGGCGAAACGTGTGTGGAAGACTGCCGTTGGTCGCAACACGACAAAACAAGGTGGCAGTATGGGCGCAGCAGAGCAAAAGAAGCTTCCCGTCCGGGAATTGGACCCGGGTCACCCGCGTGACAGGCGGGTTTACTAACCACTATACTAACGAGAATTCGTACAGCCACAACTCGCCATACAAATTTCAAAACAAAAACAACCAGACGCACAAAACGACGCATCGCACGCGCGTCAAACGGCGCCAGCCTGCTCCACCACATCTTTCTCTGCACCTTCAGGCCTATTTTGAGCGGACTCAGCCACTGTGCAATCCACCAGCACCTGCCATGACAAACAGCTTTATCCTCTCGCATGACCCCACCACGTCGCTCCGACGGATTTAGTCACGCCTCAAAGGGCTCGTGACCAGTCTCCTCACGGTCAAGACGCCGTACGTCGCGTGTCGATCTAGATACAACGGTAGCAGCTGTCGCACAAGACGAAGTTCGGGATCAAGTCCTGTGACGAGTGTTCTGTCCGCTATTGCAATAGGTGTAGCTCGCGCGCCAGCCGTGTGTTGCCTAAAGGAGGCGAAACGTGTGTGGAAGACTGCCGTTGGGCGCAACACGACAAAACAAGGTGGCAGTATGGGCGCAGCAGAGCAAAAGAAGCTTCCCGTCCGGGAATTGGACCCGGGTCACCCGCGTGACAGGCGGGTATACTAACCACTATACTAACGAGAATTCGTACAACCACAACTCGCCATACAAATTTCAAAACAAAAACAACCAGACGCACAAAACGACGCATCGCACGCGCGTCAAACGGCGCCAGCCTGCTCCACCACATCTTTCTCTGCACCTTCAGGCCTATTTTGAGCGGACTCAGCCACTGTGCAATCCACCAGCACCTGCCATGACAAACAGCTTTATCCTCTCGCATGACCCCACCACGTCGCTCCGACGGATTTAGTCACGCCTCAAAGGGCTCGTGACCAGTCTCCTCACGGTCAAGACGCCGTACGTCGCGTGTCGATCTAGATACAACGGTACCAGCTGTCGCACAAGACGAAGTTCGGGATCAAGTCCTGTGACGAGTGTTCTGTCCGCTATTGCAATAGGTGTAGCTCGCGCGCCATCCGTGTGTTGCCTAAAGGAGGCGAAACGTGTGTGGAAGACTGCCGTTGGGCGCAACACGACAAAACAAGGTGGCAGTATGGGCGCAGCAGAGCAAAAGAAGCTTCCCGTCCGGGAATTGGACCCGGGTCACCCGCGTGACAGGCGGGTTTACTAACCACTATACTAACGAGAATTCGTACAACCACAACTCGCCATACAAATTTCAAAACAAAAACAACCAGACGCACAAAACGACGCATCGCACGCGCGTCAAACGGCGCCAGCCTGCTCCACCACATCTTTCTCTGCACCTTCAGGCCTATTTTGAGCGGACTCAGCCACTGTGCAATCCACCAGCACCTGCCATGACAAACAGCTTTATCCTCTCGCATGACCCCACCACGTCGCTCCGACGGATTTAGTCACGCCTCAAAGGGCTCGTGACCAGTCTCCTCACGGTCAAGACGCCGTACGTCGCGTGTCGATCTAGATACAACGGTACCAGCTGTCGCACAAGACGAAGTTCGGGATCAAGTCCTGTGACGAGTGTTCTGTCCGCTATTGCAATAGGTGTAGCTCGCACGCCAGCCGTGCGTTGCCTAAAGGAGGCGAAACGTGGGTGGAAGACTGCCGTTGGGCGCAACACGACAAAACAAGGTGGCAGTATGAGCGCAGCAGAGCAAAAGAAGCTTCCCGTCCGGGAATTGGACCCGGGTCACCCGCGTGACAGGCGGGTTTACTAACCACTATACTAACGAGAATTCGTACAGCCACAACTCGCCATACAAATTTCAAAACAAAAACAACCAGACGCACAAAACGACGCATCGCACGCGCGTCAAACGGCGCCAGCCTGCTCCACCACATCTTTCTCTGCACCTTCAGGCCTATTTTGAGCGGACTCAGCCACTGTGCAATCCACCAGCACCTGCCATGACAAACAGCTTTATCCTCTCGCATGACTCCACCACGTCGCTCCGACGGTTTTGGTCACGCCTCAAAGGGCTCGTGACCAGTCTCCTCACGGTCAAGACGCCGTACGTCGCGTGTCGATCTAGATACAACGGTACCAGTTGTCGCACAAGACGAAGTTCGGGATCAAGTCCTGTGACGAGTGTTCTGTCCGCTATTGCAATAGGTGTAGCTCGCGCGCCAGCCGTGTGTTGCCTAAAGGAGGCGAAACGTGGGTGGTAAGACTGCCGTTGGGCGCAACACGACAAAA